AGTTCCTCCAAGGCCGAGGGCCCCCATCCCCCGAGAAGTCGCAGCCTCAGCGATCTCGAGATTGCTCTCGCAGGCGGAGCGGGGCGCGGCGCTCCAGGCGACGGCGATGTTCAGCACGTTCATCCGCCCAGGTGCGCTGAGGAAGGTTCGGGTGAAGGACCTCCTTCGGCCCACGCGGGCCGGGGGCGCCATGGCGACGCGGGCGCTTCTCCTGGCGCCGACCGAGGTGGGCCCCCTGGCCCCGCAGGCCGACGCGGGCGCGCGGGCGCGGGCGCCCATCGAGACGGACGCGCCCGACGAGGCGGCGCCCCTCGACAACCCGCAGCGGCTTGGCCCCCTGCTCGCTCGGCATGCCCGCGGACGCCCTGGGCGCGCCGCGCTCTTCACCGCGTCGGCCGTCGACGCGGCCGTGCTGTTCCGCGAGGTCGCGGAGGCGCAGGGCCTCCACAACGTGTGCCTGTGCCAGCTCCGCCACGGCGGGGCGGGCGAGGACGCGCTGCCCGCCCGCCGCGCCCTCGCCGAGGTCCAGGCGAGAGGGCGCTGGAGCCAGGACAGCAGCGTCAAGCGGCGCGCAAAGCCAGGGATGGTCCAGCAACTGCTCTCAGCGCCGTCGCCGGCCGCCCGGGCTCACGGAGAAGTCCAGCGGGTCAGGCTCGAGGGCTTCTTCTCCGGGCGTGCGCGCCCGTCCTGGCCAGCGAAGGAGCAACGTTGTCGCCGCTAGGAGACCGGGGCCCTCGTGGAGGTCTCCTGCAGCGCCCCTGGGTCTCTATGTTTCCTAACTCCGTAGGTGTTGAGTTGACGGCTGGGGCCCGCAGGATTTCTGCAACATGTGTCCGAGCGGGGTTGGCGATGCGATCATATGAGTATTCCGACTCCGTCTTTGAGGACGCTACCCGCCCTGATGCTTTCCAGCTCTTGCTTGGGACCGCTGGGCGAGGGCTAAAGTTCGTTTGGATCGGCCTCGCGTGCACCTCGTGGTCTCGTGCGAGGCGCAACCCGCGCCCTGGCGGTTGGCCAGGGCCGGTCAGATCTCGTAGCTGTATCTTGGGATAGCCAGGGTTGTCTCAGAAGGATCAGACCAAAATGCAGTTGGGCAACGCTCGAGCCCAGTGGGCCGCCAGTGTTTTTCCCCAGCTTGCCGCTCACAACGTTCCCGTCATCGTCGAGGACCCCCAGGGCTCCATGTTGTGGCTCCACCCTCTCTTCCAGTCGCTGATGAACACATATGATATCGTCGATTGGGACCACTGTGCTTTTGGATCCTGCTATCGCAAGCGTACCCGGTTATTGTATACTAGCTGTGCATTGGACCTCTTGGGCTCAGAAAGATGTCGGGGACGTGGTGTGCGTTCGTATACGCAGCAACTTCACACAGAAATTGCACGAAAAGATGAGAACGGCACGTTCCACTCCGAAAAAGCGTCAGCATATCCTGTAACATTTTGTAATAAGGTCGCTCACATACTCTGTTGCCTGTAATTCGGTGTGTTGTACTGCCGCCCCTGGGAAGTGATTTGTATTTATCTGTCCCTCCCTCCCCCCTGGTTCATTTACGAAAATGGGCTTGGGCTTGGGCTTGGGGGCGGCTGCTTGAGCAGCGCCGGTCTGGTTTCGCCAGGCAATTGTCTTCAACTGCCCACGTAACTGAGTCTACTGGCATCGGAAAATAGGGGACGCTTTCTGAACACATGGCCCTGCGTGCTGGTGAATGTGTGATTGAGTGTCTCCGTTCCGCTGCCTTTTTGGGCCCAACCCAAAATCTTGAAGCGGTGGTCCCACCCTGCCCTCCCTTTCTCTTTGTCTGCTGTCATGTGTTGTCCCTTGCTCACAAGGGGCTTGGAGGCGGCTGCTTGAGCAGCGCCGGGTTGGTGTCGCCAGGCAATTGTCTTCAACCGCCCACGTAACTGAGTCTGCTGGCGTCGGAAAAGAGGGGGCGCTCTGTGAACACATAACGTGGTTCCCCGGCCCTCCGCGGTTGCATGCGCGTTTGTTCCCAAGTGCTTCTGTTGGGGCACATGCAGCTGGCGGCGGTCGTCGGGCCACAGGCTCGAGAGAGAAACTTCGAACATGTAAAATGTGATGTGGTTGGTGTGGGGGTGGCTTGGGTCGCCTTCAGCCATACCGTGGTCATCGTAGGACCTCCCACCCAGGGGGTTCCCGCTTTGGGGCCCTCTCGGGGTCCTCCTTGAGCCCTTGTTCGGGCCGCTTGGTGGAAACATAACTCTTTTGGGCATCCTTGTCGCCCGCATGGGCGAGAACGCCGTGACCATTGAAGCACAAGTTATGTTCAATGGTTCTGGCGTCGTGGGGTCTGCCAGAGCACTCCCAAAAGAGCCCCAGGAGGCAAGAATCATTGATTTTTCAAGGTTTCTGATCGATTTTCACGTTTCTGCCTTTTCGGCTTCCCGGCGCTCCAAGACGGTCCCAGAAGCTGCAAATATCGCCCCGACACGGCTTCACAGGCCCCCAAGAGGGCACCGAAACGGCCCAAGAGGCCCCCCAGACGGCCCCAGAGGCATCCAAGGCAGCCTAAGACGGCCCCAAGAACGCCCCAAGAGGGATCCACGAGGGGGAACACGAACCGACATTTCGAGCTCTCCGCCCCTTGAGGCCCCCAAGAGGTCCCAAACGGCTCCTAAGAGGCCCCCGGGATGCCCCAAGAAGTCCCCAAGAGGACCCCAGGAGTCCCAAGGAGGCCGCCAAGAGGCCCCCAAAAGCTCCCCCCCAGACGTCCTGAGACGCTCCTGCCGATCCTCAACGCCGTCCCATCACCGAGTGCCAGTTGCATCGCGCGTCCTGCTCACCCGCCCGATTATGCTTCTTTCGCGTGTCGTCGTCGTCGTCGTCGTCGTCGTCGTCGTCGTCGTCGTCGTCCTCGTCCTCGTCGTCGTCGTCGTCGTCGTCGTCGTCGTCCGTCGTCGTCGTCGTCGTCGTCGTCGTCGTCGTCGTCGTCGTCGTCGTCGTCGTCGTCGTCAGTGGTGGGGCCACCTGGAGGGCTTGATGAGCATCTGGCGGTGATGTTCTAGCGATTCGGGGCCTTTTTGGGGCTGTCCTGCAAGTCTCCTGTGGCGTCTTTGAGGCCTCTTGGGCAGTGTGGTGCCGTGGAGGGGGCCTCTGAAACCGTCTTGGGGCGAGCTTTCGCCCTTCTGGGGCTGCTGTGAAGCCGTCAGCAGGCCGGAAAGGTTGAGAACCAACAGGACGACGGCAGGCTGCCTGCCGTCGTCCCAAGCTGAGACCGTTCGGCTGCCCATTCGGCGGCCGAGCGGGCTCGGACGCCGCACGTGGGGGGACGTAAAGGCACCGATGCCCGATGCCCGTGGACCTCTCCCCGGGTGCGTTCGGGCCAGGAATCAGAGGCGAACCCGGCCGCGGCGACGAGGGCCTCCGGGGAGGCCCAAGAAGGCGAGGACGAGGGCAGGGCACGGCGGTACCGCAAACTCTTCCTCATCCTGGGAAGCGTGCCCGGGAGGGGGCCCGTGCAGCACCCGCTCGCCCCCGAGGGCCACAATCAAGCAAGAACGCGGATGAGCAAGTCCTTGACGCCTGGCGTATTCCTTCAGCCCATCCCAAGGCAGGCACCAGGCGAGTTGCCCTGATCGGAGATATGTAGCGTCCTAGTTGAGTGGCTGCATGTTGTTGCCTGCGGTGCCTGTGTTACGTCGTGCGTGCCCAGGGTTGCCTCGGTAGATTGGTTGCTTGTTGTTGCTCACCGTGCCTGCGTTGGTTTGGCCGCGCGGACACCGACGACGCGCACGTTCGTCATCAGGGAGGGACGACAGGCAAGCACTCAACCAAGGCAGCCGCGGGAAGCGCGGGATTACAACAACGACGGGGAATACCACGACTAGGACGCCGACGACGACGCCGACGCCGACGCCTAGGACGCCGACGCAGGCGCCGACGACGACGACGACGGCGACGACGACGACGACGACGACGACGACGTTGACGACGACGACGGCGACGACGACGACTGTCGCGGCGCCGGCGGCGTCGGCGGCGGCGACGACGACGGCGACGGCGACGACATGAGTCAATATCAATACTTTTGCGATCGTTCGTTCTGGGAGCGTCTTAGAGTTCTTTTGGGGCCATCTTGGGGGCCTCTTGGGCGCTGTGAGCTCTCTTGAGGCCGTCTTGGGGCGCTCGTGGGGCTTTCTTGGGGCCCTCTTGGAGACCTTGTGGGCCCTTTTGGTGACATCTTGTTGGCCGTTGAGCAAAAAAGAGAGCTGCGTAAATTAGGGTACCCCTATCTGTGCCCAGAACTTAGCATCTTGGGGCCCTTTCGGCGCGTTCTTGGGGCGCTCTGAGGGCCGTCTTGGACCGTCTTGGACCGTCTTGGGCCTCTCCTTGGACTTCTTGGGCCGTGAAGACCTTAGCGGAAGCGAAAAGGCGAGAAGGTCAAACACAATGAACAACACATTGGTTTTGACAGATTTGGGCCTCCTGGGAGCCTCCTTAGGAGGCTCGGAGGGCACTTAGGTCCGTTCTGCGGCGGTCTTGAGGGCTCTTGGATGCATGTTGGAAGTTATCTTGAACCATCTTGGCGTATCTTGAGCGATCTTGGAGGCCATCTTGGGCTCTCTGGCGCCCTCTTGGGGCCACCTGGGGCCAAAAAAGACATTCTGATACAGAAGAGGTGGTCTAGACGTAGGGGAGGGGGTTGGGTGGAGTGGGGGGCCCTCCCCGAAGGGGAGGAGGGGAGTCAGCAGAACGAGCTTTTGAATCCACTCATGCCCAGAAAGCTGGTGGGACTCACCGTCGTCGTCGTCGTCGTCGTCGCCGTCGTCGCCGCCGTCGTCGTCCTCGTCGTCGTCGTTGTCGTCGTCGTCGTCGTCGTCGTCGTCGTCGTCGTCGTCGTGGTCGTCGTCCTCGTCCTTGTCCACATCGCCGTCGCCGTTGCCGTCGCCGCCGCCGTCGTCGTCGCCGTCGTGGGGCCGTGGCCGTCGCCGCCGCAGCCACGCCCGGGCCCGTGCCTCCCGCGCGCGGCCCGAGCGGAGGCGGCGCCGCCAGCCTGGGGCGCGCGCGGTGCGCCCCGCGCCCAGGAGGGCCCCCCTGCGCGTGGTGCGCGCCGATCCCTCGTGCCAGACGGGCGGGGGTCCCCCGACGGGCAGGGAAGAGGAGGAGGAGTAGCAGGAGGAGGAGGAGGAGGAGGAGGAGGAGGAGGAGGAGGATTGGAGGATCGGAGGAGGAGGAGGAGGAGGAGGAGGGAGGAGGAGGAGGAGGATCGGAGGAGGAGGAGGAGGAGGAGGAGGAGGAGGAGGAGGAGGAGGAGGAGGAGAGGGAGGATCAGAGCGGTAGGAGGAGCAGCAACGTTAGGAGGGATGGGCTTGGGTGGGGGACGTTCGAAAGTTTTCGGCGATTGTCGTAGGTTTGCAAGACCCGGGGGTAGTTTCCATCAGCTGGTGCCGGAGTGGTCCCGAACGGCCGCCAGAGACCCGAGTTTTTGTCAAAAAGTTGGGGGGATAGGCTCAGGGGTCAGGGGAGGATCAGACGAGGAGGAGGAGGGAGGAGGAGGAGGAGGAGGAGGAGGAGGAGGAGGAGGAGGAGGAGGAGGAGGAGGAGGAGGAGGAGGAGGGAGGAGGAGGAGGAGGAGGAGGAGGAGGAGGGAGGAGAGGAGGAGGAGGAGGAGGAGGAGGATCGGAGGAGGAGGAGGAGCAGGAGGAGGAGGAGGAGCAGGAGGAGGAGCAGGACGAGGAGATCATCATAAGGTGAAGCCTCCGTCGCAATCCGCCGATCCTTTGCGGGACGGGCGGGGTCCAGACAGGCAGGGTCTGGGGGCGGCTTCGCTATCGGTGGCCTATCGCTGGTCTAGCGGCGATCTGCGTATTGCCGATTTCAGCTCGATGATTTGCCCCCTGCGCCTAGCAAGCGGGTCCTGAGGGCCACGGGGCCTGGCTGATCGTTGAGGCCTTCGGGCCCTCCCCAGGCCCTGGCACCTTCGAGCAACGATGCCGGATGCAGGGCTGCGGTGGAGACCCATGCCAAGGAACACCCTGCTTGCCTCCAGGGTGCCCTGGGTTTCTCTTGGGTTTCGATGGTCTTGTTGTGGAAAGCGCGACGTTCCCACACCAGAAATCCATGGGCGTCCTGGGGTCTCAGGCTTGGGTTTCTTGTGGGAGGCTTCTGATGGACTGGCCTCCACGCTGTGCAGGGCTGGCCCTGGGGGGATGCCCCTGTGTCCAGAGCCCGTTTCCCTCAGGACGCGCTTCCCTCACGCCCAGGGTGGCGGAAGGGGGCTGCCAGGCTTTCCCCGGAAGTCGTGATCTGCTGGGGGCGTTCTCGCTGCGCGGCTGCGCCCGGCCGACAGCGCTGCAGGGGTGCCCGAATCGTTCAGATGGCCGCTGGAGGCCCGAGTTATAGGTCGAGGTGCGAGGGATGGGAGATCTAGTTTTTCGCAACCATCCTGTGGTGTTGGGACCTCGTTTTGAGGAGAGAGAGCGCCCCGCGTCCCACCTCCTCTCCTCTTCTCTCCTCTCCTCCTCTTCCCCTCCTCCCCCTCCACTTTGTCACAACCCTCACACGTTTCGTGGCCCCATAGGGAGCTCCACCAACGGCCCAGATGCCAGCGCTCGCATGCGCCCACCGCACCCATTTTGGCCCACCCCTCACACGCTTCGTGGCCCCGTAGGGCGCTCCGCCGAAGGCCCAGCTGCCAGCGCTCGCATGCGCCCACCGCCCCAATTGGCACACCCATCACACGTTCCATGGCCCCATAGGGAGCCCCACCGAAGGCCCACATGCCAGCGCTCGCATGCGCCCACCGCACCCATTTTGGGACACGCCTCACACGCCTAGTGGCCCCATAGGGAGCCCCACCGAAGGCACACATGCCAGCGCCCGCATGCGCCCACCGCACCCATTTTCGAACTCCCCTCACGGGTTTCGTGGCTTCATTGGGAGCTCCACCAACGACCCAGATGCCAGCGCTCGCATGCGCCCACCGCACCCATGGTGGCACACCCCTGACACGTTTCATGGTCCCACAGGGAGCTCCGCCGGAGGCCCCCATGCCTGCGCTCGCATGCGCCCACCGCCCCATTTTGGCACGCCCCTCATTCGTTTCGTGGCCCCATGGGGAGCCCCACCGAAGGCCCACGTGCCAGTGCTCGCATGCGCCCACCGCGCCCAATTTGGCACGCCGTTCACACCCTTCATTGTCCCATAGGCCCATAGGGAACTCCACCGAATACCCAAACGCCAGCGCTCGCAATCGCCCACAGTACCCATTCTGGTACACCCCTCACACGTTTTGTGGCCCCAGAGGGAGCTCCACCGAATGCGGTGCATACAACGACGGTACCCACTATTGCATATGGTTGGGTCTTTCGCCAGGCTAATTGTTGGCTTTTTCGGACCTCGTCGCCACGGTTGGATCCGCTTCGAATTCCTGGCCGGAACGCACCTCGCAGGAGAGGTCCTGGAGCCAGGTGGAGCCTGCGAGCAGGACCCATGGGGCCAGACCCCCGACGTGCTGTAAGCGGCGGCACGGGTCTTGTTCGCCGCCTGGTCGGCCTCTGGGGACCCGGGGCGGGCCCCGGGGGCCACTGGGGTCGACTGCGCGCAAGAGTGGCCTTTCGCCGGAGTGACCTCTCAGTGCGGGCGCATCTGGGTCCCTACGATCGCGGAGCGCGATGCGATGGCTGCTTTAGCGCTTGGCATTCGGCCACCGTGCGCCCCCTTATCGGAAAGCGGAGCATGTCACATTACCAGTGGCGGGCTGTTTCCAATCCCGGGACTTTGTGTGAGGGTCGGGGACGACGTCGGGGTGGTGTGGTGTATACTTGTTGTTCCCATTTTCCCGGGGAAACAAAGATATGTACGCATGTCCCGTATACACCAGGATCCCGCAATTATACACCAGGATCCGCTTTCCTGTGCGAATGTAAGTGCGGGCCCAGAGAAAACGTCGGTGCATGCTAAAAAGGGAGAGGCCTCGAGGAACACCAGAGGACCACTCCAGGGACATGTACGGCAGGGGCGACCACGCGGGAGACCCTGCGGGAGACCGCGCGGGAGACCGAGCTGGAGACGAGACCACACGGGGCATCACCCCGGAGACCACGGTGAGAGACCCTGCGGGGTATCACACGAGAGACCACAAGCCACCAGTTCTGCATCGAGAGCTCTCACGGGCCAGCCAGGCCAGGGAACTTCGATCTCTGAGGAGGGGGGCGGGGGCCCTATGGCATTCGAAGTTGGCCGGATCCTCCTCTCCTCCTGTAGTCCCCTCCTTCTCCACTCCGCCTCCAGTCCTCCTCCACTCCTCCTTCTCCCTTCCTCCTGAACTCCTGCTCCTCCCCCACTTCTCCTCCCCTCCTCCCACTCCCCTCCTCTTCGACCCGTACTTAGAAGGGTCGGGCTTCGAGGATCGGCGAGGAGGTGGGCAGTGAGGGAAGGAAACTGTCCGAGACTCGGTCGGGTCTCGGCTGCGTCGCGGTCGGCCGAGTGCGGTCGGGCTCGCTCCGCCTGGCCGCCGCGCCGCCGTGCCCTCCTGGGTTGTCGCGGGCCCATCTGGTTCGGTCTGTCTCGGTCTCGCGGTCGCTTCGGTCGGCATCGGACTCAGATGAGGCATTCCAGGAAAGGCCTCGTCCTCCTCCTTCTCCTGCTCCTCCTCCTCCTCCACCTCCTCCTTCTCCTCCTCCGCCTCCTTCTCCTCCTCCGCCTCCTCCGCCTCCTCCTCCTCCTCCTCCTCCTCCTCCTCCCCCTTCTCCTCCTCCGCCTCCTTCGCCTCCTCCTCCTCCTCCTGCTCCTCCTCCTCCTCCTCCTTACCCCCCTCCCCCGTGAGGAAGTTGGCCCCCCGCGGCGGAGTTTTAAAAGGGGGGCGGCTCCGCCAGCAGCAGCCGGCGGAAGTGAGACTCTGTCCCCCAAGATTTGGACGCCCGAAATGGGTACGGAAAAAATAGGTACAATGCCCAACACCAAATGTTGTCCCAGACCAACAGCGGCCGCTGTTGGGCAGGCGGCCTTCTCTCTCGAATGGACACAGGCCGCGGCGACACCGACAGCGAGTCCTTTCAGATTGAACAGGATCCGCTGTTGGGCATTGTACCCATTCTTTCCGTACCCATTTCGGGCGTCCACACAAGAGATGATGTTTCTGTTGGGGGGTTCAGGACTCCCCCACATGTTGTAAGTCGGGCCTGCCTCTGCACAGGAGATATTTTCAAACATACTTTAAAAATAATATGGTGACGATTTTTGACATCTATTTGTTATTTGTCCTGCAAGATCCGCCTGTAGGGGGGCACGCCCGACCTAATTTTTGAAATCCGCCATATGTTTCGAAGAAAACGCCACTGCGCGCGGATTCCTTGGATCGGCGCCTGGGCCCCCACGGCGGCGCTTCCGGCGCCGCCCTTGGCGCGCTCCGCGCGCCAGGGAGGGGGGTCCAGCGCAGATCCAGGAGATCCGCGCAGACCTCCAAAAGTTTATGTTTATTCAGTGGTTTCTTCCTCCAGGGTGGCAATGGACGTGTATACGGGGATCGGGAGTGATCGGGCGGGCCGAGGAGCGCCCTGGAACGGCCGCGGTGCCCGACGCGTCCTCCGGAGCCGCAGGACCTCAGAGATCCCCGACGTGCCCCAGTCCGACCCAGGCCCTGGCCTCGAATTACTTGGGGCCGGCCTCGGGACAGTCCCCGATGGTCCCGGTCCTGGCCTCGTCTTGCTCTTTGGGCTGGGGAGAGCCTTGCCTTTCCCTCGCCGCGTTGCCCTGTGTTTGCCCTCGTTGAGGCGTCGAGGCATAGAGGCCGCGTTCCAGCAGTCGGGGCTTTGGTGAGAGCTTGAGAACGGCGGTGGCGATGCACCGGTCTGCTCTCTCTGGGCTGCTTTCGGGCCCAGGAGCTGATTCGGCAAATTGGCAACGTGTATCATCAAAGAGGCGGGGGGGGCAGGCGGATAGAGAGGGAATGGGGAGGGGGAGTCGCGGGATGAGGAGGCGGAGGAGGATGAGGAGGTGAAGGAAGAGGATGAGGAGGGGGATGGCGGATGAGGACGAGGAGGAAGGAGAGGGAGAGGAATGTGATCAGCAGGAGGAGGAGGAGGAAGAGGAGGAGGAGGAGGAGAATGATGAGGAGGAGGAGGACAAGGCGGAGGAGGAGGAGGAGGAGGAGGAGGAGGAGGAGGAGGAGGAGGAGGAGTGGATTCGAGGGGTGTTGGTAGGAGGATTACTAGCGAGAGAATCAGGAGGAGGGGTTACGTTACATGGCAGGAGGAGGAAGAGGAGGAGGAGGAGGAGGAAATCGGCCCCTGCAAGCCCAAAGGAGACCCTGATCCGGCGGTGTGAACTCGATTAGGGCGCTGATCTGGCCTACCGTGGCGGCAGACCAGCCTTCGATCGCCGGGGTCGCGATCGGGGGGATAGATCGGGCCTTCGGTCGCCATGGTGCGCTGCGCCTTGGGAGGCGACGGGCCGCGGATCTGCCTGGGCTGGCGCACGTGCGCTTCCTCTGAAGGTCTCGCGCCTGTGGGGCGACGCGCTGAAGTTCGGCGGTTCGACCGTGGCGACGAAGCTCTGGAAGTGGGCCGTGCGATTTGGCGACGACCCGTGGCCACTGCAGTGCCCAGCCCTCCTCCTTCACCGACCTCTTCCCCCCGTTCCCTCGTGCCTCCAATCCTAGGCCCCCCCGCCGTCCCCATCCTCTCCACTCCCTTCCTGTCTCTCGCCTCGCCTCTTCTCCCTCCGTTCTCTCTAGTCCTTCGGCTCCTCGGCCGTCCTCCCACCCTCCCCCCCATTTTCCCCCCACTTTCCTTCCCACGCACACACACACACCTACCCCCCCCCCCCCAAAACACACACACACACACACACACACTCTCACACACACACAGTCACACACAGTCACACACACACACACAAACCTACACACCTACACACCTACACACCTACACACCTACACCCACACCTACACACATGGAAGTGCAATGCAAGTACGATGGCAATAACACTGCAATGTAGACCCCGTCGGACCTCTCCAGGCTTTATCCAACCTCGCTGCCTGGACCCCGTCTTAGCTGCTCCGAAGGCCTCCTCCTGAGTTCCCAGAGCTCCGAGAAACCTTCGAAGACGACCTTGACACAACATTCAGAGGCTGCCATTTTTCGCCTGAGAGCAAGAAGAGAATATCGCCAGCCCACGTCGTGTGCGCCGATCGCTCTGCTTGAGCACTAGCCTAAACCAGCAATGTGTGTCCTGAAAACATGCATGGCTACGGATGCGCGGGTGTGTGTGGCATGCAATAACGAGGCCTTTACATCGGTACGGCGTGTGAGCTCCTACCTCCTGAAGCTTATTACTTGTACATATGCGATTATCAAATCAGCTCCTCTAGACAACTGAAGAGAAATCCCTAAAGTCATAGCCTGGCGATATACATTGTGTTGAAACGAAAAGCACACACACGCACACACACACACACACACACGCACACACGCACACCCACACACGCACACTCGCGCGCGCAGCCGACCCAACAGGGAGGATAGACAGCAATACATCGAGATAGGAGGCCTCAGCCGCAGCATCCACTGTAGCATCACCTGCTCCTCTCGGTCTGTGCGCAGGCCCTCGGTGTGGGAGACCCAACGGGAATCATGCAAGCTACCGAAGCCTTCGGACAACAGCTGCAATTCCTGACAGGATCGCAGCCTGACCAAGATTAGGTGCCAACGCGTGCACACTGCTATACATAGAGTGGGGGGAGAATTCGTTAGCACCTTTATCGGGGGCGTCCTGGAATTCCAATTGCTGGTGGGGAGCTTCAAAGACAGACCAACGACCAAGGAGATACTCGAGGCCAAACTTTCCCGCAACCAGAGGAAGGACACGGGACGCTTCCTGCGACATTCTCTCGGCACTATGAACAACAACACCTCTGAGGCCGCTCCAAAGCAAGCAACTCTCACAGGCAATGCGATCAATGATACAGATGATGCAGAGCAATGTAACATTCCAGACACTGCGGAAGGAGCAGGACGGGAGGAAGGGTCAGAAAAGGAGGAAGGGGCGAAGCAAGAGGGAGGATTGAGGTTGGTCACACAGCGAAGGCAAGACAGCGTGTGCAGTAGGGTCCTGGCCTCACTGGATCACAATGTTCTGAAGGTCGCTCTCGTGCCAAGTGCCTTCCTCCAGGAGCCACGCGAAGATTATCTCGCCGATCGTCAACGCGTGGTTGATCGCGTTAACGTCACCCGCGGAGCAGCCCAAGTGCTGGAGTTCAGTACGCCACTGAGGCAAGCCCTTGGTCTTGGCCACCTCGCGCCACCAGTCCGCGAACTGGATGGACGCCTGGCGCGTTCGTGATGGTGCCCGCCAAAGCCGTCATGTCACCGCGACCTGCACCCACACCGAGGAAGCCGATGGCCTTCGTGTGGGTCGCCAGGTTCACCTGCTGGCTCCACCAAGGTGTATGGCCTCCCAGGGCGGCAGGGTCGGCCGCTGCCGCTCCCTGTGGCCGCGGGGCCCTGGGAGCCCCCGGTGGCACGATCCCCATGCCCGCAGCCATCTGCTCCAAGAGGCTGCGAGTCGATCGAACACCATCGCCCTGTTCCTCGATGGTGGTCTGGAGGGTGGCGACCTGACGACCTTGGGTCTGGACCGTGTCGGACACCGAGGCCAGAGATGCCTTCAGCTTCTTGTAAATCTCGGACTGCTCCAGCTGCTCGTGGAAGCTGTTCGATGAGGACGGAAACGATGTTGCAATCAGCTCCTTCAAGCGACCGATTGTCTGCTGCACACGGGTATCTGACTTGGAACGTTGAGCAGCGTCACCTTCGAGGACCTGTGTCAAGGCAATGGCGAGCTCCGCGGCTGGCTGCGAAACCGTCCCAGCAGGCGGCGGCTGCGTCGGGAGCCCCGACGTCGCGCCAGGAGTGTTCGCAGGGGTGCCATTGAGCTGCTGATCGGACAACATAGTCCCGAGGCGTGACATCTCTCCCAAAACACTCACACTCTCCATGAAGCTATGCATCTCCTGGGCAATTGAACTGAAGCGTCCCTGGCGTTGCTGAGGCGGTGCCTGCCAGTAAGGGCCGCCTCCACCACCGCCAGCAAACCGAGGGGCACGCAGGCGAGGGCCACTCTTCCCGTCGGATCCCGGGTGGCCGTATGAGCCCTTGCCTTCCCAGCTCATGTCTTGTGCTTTGGAAGAAGAAGTCTGCAAGTCAGACGAGGCTTGAATCGTCAAAATACCCGGAACAAACAGCAGCGAAACGATCAGGGTGTGGGAGTGAGTGGGACGAAGTACGAAACACCACATTCATACACCGTTGTGTTATATCACGTAACGGGCTAGGAGGAATAATGTTGCGCCAACTCTTCTCCATGCCATGTCTAGGATATCCAAGTCGTAAGTCGAATAGGACGTCGGAACTTAATGATACAATACAGTTAACATCATCTAAGCCATGCCTGTTCCACCTTCGCAATCTACCCTTAAGCTCAGCACGATGTAGTTGTAGTTGAGGTGAGGTAAGGGAACCAAGGTAGGGGCACACCGACTTGTTGACGATCTTGGAGGGGTCACCTGTGAACGCAAGCCTTTCATTTTTGTGGATCACCCGCACCGCAATCTTTTCACGTGTACTTCAGCCTCCAGGAACTTCAGAGCAACCGTTTGGGGCCCCACCCGTTTTTCATTCTCGCAGTTAAACTTTACCGCCTTACCATACACACGACCAACATGTAATTTCAAGCACACGTTGCAGCCTGTGCGCGAGGCCAGAAGGAGGTCGTCCACAAAGCGACCCCGTGCTATCCGCTGGCGGTTCCGAGGAGCGGCCTTGTCGCACAACCATTCAAGTTCTGAGAGGACGACGTGTAAGATGGCCCCACTCATTGGGCCTCCGATCGAGATGCTGATGTAGTACCAATGCCAACACCTTAAGATATCTCATCCCCCAAAAAACCGTAATGGCACGTTAAGGCTTCGAAACGTAACGATAGTGGGGCCCCAAAGTCTGGCATTGATAGATCCCCCAATGAATCCATGACTACGACGACAGTGTAGGATCGCGAAAGCCTCCTTAGACGTACACTTCGATAGGCGCCCAAACAAACGATCTAAGGACCTCCAAATCACTTCGACGGGGATCTCTTCGTAGGCCTGCCCCGCGTGAGCTACAAGGGTCCCAGGGGTATCCATAGGGTCCCGCGGTACATTCTACATTGGGCACACACATCACGTTGCTTCTCAAGCCCACGATATTGCGCAACCAAATTCGGGATGCCATCCTCCAAGCTGCGGCACGCCCATCCTGGCGTGACCACACGCCTACGGCATACACTGTCGCCCGACTAAGGTACTTGTACAAACGGCGAGGCGGGAACTTGGCAAACGAACAAATATTCCTGAAGCAAGAGTGCTTGGCTTTCGTGCGCTGACGCCTACCTGCCGCGGGGGGCTGAGGACTGTCGTTCCAACATTTGGCCTTCACAGTCGGGTATGCATATGGAACGTGTGTCTGACTAAACTTCCCCTCCCCTCCCCACGGGCTCGCAAGTTCTTAGGAATCGTTCTATCGTGCATTACGCGGTACCAATCCGTAACAGCAGGGGAGGGATGCATGAGAGACTTGCCAACGATACGGGGCATGCGCAAGGATGCCTAACCACCGGGCCATCATCAAAGCAGGTTCGACAACCACATGCTGTTTGGGTCTTTGTCCTCGATTGCGGAAACCTTTTGACGTTGCTCGTTGAGGCCCCCGAAACATTTTTTGGATTTGTCTCTGGAACTTCTGAAACCGTGTCGGCACTGGGGAGACTGCTCGGCAGTCTCCAGGGCTAGGAGGAGTAGGAAGAGGTATTGTACAGTGCTTCCCCCAGAGCCCTTGTTGGTGTTCCCACGCTCGACAAGCCGAGGCGGCACTTGCATGCCCTTGCGTCACATTCGGAACTGGCGTCTTGGCGTTCGCGAGCACGTTCAAGCACGGGCGCACCAAGTTCAGCATCGTGCATCCGTTGCAAAACACGAGGAAGGATATGGTGATCACGACGGAAATTAGGAACACCTCGAATCAAGATACGAACCTGACCACTTACAAGTCCAACCCAGCCTGGTCGGGAAGCCCGGAGACGCCGAACAACTTCCCGAAGCCATATCCTAGCGATTTCGCTTTCTTTTTTCCCCCGTCACTTCGATGATACTCATTCCTGGTTTAGGGAGGTAGTTCTTTTCCAGATGCATGCGTAGCGACGTCTGCACTCGTACTTTATCCATCCAATGAGGACAGATATTCGCCAACACCCAAAATACGTAGGCATAGTCTCTGCCGCTAGGACGAACTTTAAACGCTGGATCCCATTCAACTTGGAGGTGGTTAGTGCACGCCCATTTAACAGGAGCTTGGTCTGCTTCGGCTCGCAGATGCTAAGGGGGCCCAGAGTTGTTCCTTGTTCAAGCTGTTGCTTCTGGAACAACGCATGCAACTCGCCAAACCTCAATCGCAACAAACCTTGCCAACACTAACGGGCCTTTAGATACTTTTGATGACCCAGGTATCTAGATACAAGACTATCACTTTTATCCTTCATCCGTTTTTGGGTCTCGTCATGGGATCTACGAACTCGGTGGAAGGTCTTGCCACCAACACTTTCCACAGTCCGCTAACATACAGCAGGGCAACTTCAGGTCGTGTCCGGGAGTCCAGAAAAATATGAATCTGATTCCAAATCTGCAGCCCAGCCACACACGCCACGAAGATCGGTCAGCACACGCGCACGTAGCTGGTAACCCGTGGCCGTCGTACACGCCGAAGACGTGCGTGTAGCCATCTACTTATTGATCTCGCGGTCGCCCCGATCTTGGGCTGAACTGGCGGCCGCCACTTCCAGCTTGCAGGCCACGATCAACGACATCAGCAACCTGAAACAACATGGGTACGAGAGTCGGGGAACCCGTCGTGTTGCGCGCAGTCGAGCCTCTTCCACACGCCAACAGCACGTGAAGGATGAGTCCCATTCGCGCCCACGAAGTCGGTGTGGCCATCTATGCAGGGAGAAGGTAACACACCTCAACAACGACAAGTCCCATTCGCGCCCACAAAGTCGGCATGGCCATCTTCGCAGCACGACCTTGTGGGAGAAGGTACCACGTCCACGGCAAATGCCAGACACACAACCATGAAGCATCAGCCACGATACCCATGCTATCGGTGGAAGCATTCCACAGATGCAGCAACTCATAGAGACACGAACTCGCGAACAAAAACTTTATGAACGTGTACGTGGCAACAGTCGGAGTGTTCATCATCATGTTGGTCACGCGCTCATCACGACTGCGGTGCGCAGCAATTGCCCGTCATTGTTCCAAGCCCGTCGTGAACACACATGGAAGTGCAATGCACGTACGATGGGAATAACTCTGCAATGTAGACCCCGTCGGACCCCTCCAGGCGTTATCGAACCTCGCTGCCTGGCCCCCGTCTTAGCTCCTCCGAAGGCCTCCTCCTGAGTTCCCAGGGCTCCGAGAAACCTTCGAAGACGACCTTGACCCAACATGCAGAGGCTGCCATTTATCGCCTGATAGAGAGAGAGAGAGAGAGAGAAGAAAGCATCGCCAGCCCACGTCGTGTGCGCCGATCGTTCGGCTTGAGCACTAGCCTGAACCAGCAGTGCGTGTCCTGAAAACATGAGCGGCTATGGATGCGCGAACGCGTGGCATGCAAGAACGAGGCCTTTACATCGGTGCGGCGCGTGAGCTCCTACCTCCTGAAGCTTATTATTTGTACGATGTCCTGAAAACATGAGCGGCTATGGATGCGCGAACATCTTTACAAGCTCCTACCTCCTGAAGCTGTACAGATGCTATTCTCAAATCATACAGCCCCCTACGTTAGCACACACACACACACACGCGCGCACGCGCACGCGCACGCGCACGCGCACGCGCACGCGCACGCGCACGCGCACGCGCACGCGCACGCGCACGCGCACACGCACACGCACACGCACACGCACACACACGCACACGCACACGCACACACACACACACACACACGCAGACACACACACACACACTGACACACACACAGACACACACACACACACGCGCACACGCACACGCACACGCACACGCACACGCACACGCACACGCAAACGCACACAGACACACACACACACACGCACGCACGCACGCACACGCACACGCACACACAGCACACACAGCACACACAGCACACACAGCACACACAGCACACACAACACACACAACACACACAACACAACACACGGACACACGGACACACACACACACACACACACACACACACACGTAACCATTCGGGCGCAAGCTTGCCGTGGTCGCCAGGCAAGCGGTGCGCGGCGAGTCTCTCTCTCTCTCTCTCTGGAGTCCCGTCGTCTCGGCGGGCGCAGAGAGCGGCTTAGTCTCATTCCCCTGCCCGTGTCGTGGCCCCTGCGAGGGAGGCGATGTGCGACGGCGACAAGGCGAGGCTCGGGGGGCCGCCCCCGGCGTGGCGGCCCAGCGCGCGCCGTGCTCAGGTGGGTGGGCGCCGACCTCGGCCCCTCGGCCGCGCGGCGGGCGGCGCGGGCCCGGCGCCAGCGGACCTGCGAGGCCGCGCTGCGGAAGCTGGCTTCCATGGGTGCCGAGCCTGGGCCTTGGCAAAATCGCGAGAGGGCCGCCAGGCCCGCCTTGCGGTTCGCTGCGGGCGCGAGGGTGCCAGGCAGCGCCAGGCGCCGCGGGAACGCGGCCTGGCACGCTGCCTTGGCGCCCGAAGCGGGCCTCGAGCGGACCTCCGACGCCGCCATCACGGAGGCGGCTAGCGGCCCGAGGCTAGGGCCGCCTGCGCCCGCCACCCTGCCCACGGCGCAGGAGCCCGTCGACCAGGTCGCGGAGCTGACGTCCAGGTGCGGCGCGTTCGAGGAGCAGTTGTCGCAGGCTTAGGCGGACTGCGAGGCGCAGAAGAGCCTCGCCTCGCAGTCGCAGCAGGACGTGCTCAAGCTCCTCGACATCGGCGCCCGTGTTCAGGCCCTGACGTCCTAGCTCGACACGCGCGAGGAGCAGCTGTCTCTCGCCGTGGGGGCGAAGTCGGACCTCGAGGACGACGAGCGCACCCTGGCGCCCCAGTGCGACGCGCTCAGGGAGCAGCTGTATGACGCCGCGGCGGAGTTCCAGACGCAGCAGCACGTCGTCGAGGAGCTCAGGCAGGACATGCTGTCGCTCAAGATGGAGGTTCCCGCAGTTTGCGTGGCTGGGGACGCGGGCGGCACCTCGCGGGGCCTGCGCGGGGGCGAGAGCGCGGCCACCTGCCCCGCCGCCCCGTGCGCGCGGATCGATCTCAGGCAGGTCGGCGTTTCTTTCGAGGTCGAGTTCGACGGCCGCCTGATCACCGGCGCCCTCGTCACGGCGGCGGCGGACTCCAAGGACTCCCAGGAGCGGGTCGACGACTTGCTGGAAGGCGGCTGCGTCGTGGTTCCCAGAACCCGCGTGCTGAGTAGGGCGCTGCCGGCCACCTGGTTTGCCGCCGAAACAACACGGTTGCGACAGTGGCTGAGGCTTCGTCAGCCCTTCGTGCATCGCCTGGCCGCTCGCGAGCGCGGGGCAATGGCAGACCAGCACCGCCTGCGATGGCTTCTGGACGCCTGGTGGCGCATGGTCCCTCATGCGTGCTCCTCTCATGGCACGGCCGTGATCGAGGAGCAGTTGGCGAGGATGACGGAGCTCGAGGACGACGAAGAGATGATGCGGGGAGCCAACTACCCCATCACCGAGGCCTGGGAGCCGCGGCCGCCCTGGTCGCCGAGCGGGCCCCCGCCTCCTCCACCACCGCCTCCCTCTGGAGGGGACCCCACGGCGGGTCCCGAGAGTCGTGGAGACGGTTTCAGCTCGATGGCGGACGGGAGTGGGCCCCACTTCGACGGCGAGATGGTTCTTTGGCCACGAAGGAAAAGGTCGAAGAGCTCGTGGAGCGCGTCAGGCGAGAGATCCGCCGAAGCCCATGATAGCAGCAAGAGTGCCAGCTGCGCGGATGGCATCATGCCCGAGTTGCAGCAATAGTGCCAGCTGCGCGGATGGCCTCATGAGCGAGCTTCTGAGCCCTGCCTGCATGCGTCGTCGCTGTTCGCAGTCAATGTGCCGTGTTTGGGAGACGTGTTGCGATTCTGTTCGGCGGTGAAGGGTTCTCGTTTTCTGTCCACCCCCCTGGGCCAGGAGCCAAAGGGGCCCGCCCGTGGGGCCTGGGGCTGGATGGGACCACGGAGGGTCCCCAATCCGTCTCGGGGTGCTTGATGGGCGCAGTCTCAGCACGGAAGCGCAGGTTGGCAATGGCGCCTTCTCGAGAGTGGTTCGGCAGGCGGCCTCCCCGCTCGAGAGCCCTGCGCACGGCGGCTGCGCGGCGAAGACACCCGGCCGCTAGAATGCACCAAAGCACCAAAACACACACAGACACACACACACACACACACACACACACACACACACACACACACACACACACACACACACACACACACGCACACACACGCACACACACACACGCACACACCATTCTTTCATCCCCCGTCCCTTTGCGACGTGTCCCCCGCATCCAGCCAATTGCTATGAATCCTTTCTCCCGTCCAAGTCCTTCTTTTTCCTGGCTCAGTTTCCATCTTCCTCGGCTGCTAATGCTGCCGCATCCCCTCCGCTTTGCACTCCAGTAGACATTTCGGCCGAAGCCTTTCTCTCTCATGTCAGTTTCCTGTTGTGCGTTTGCACTTTAGCCAGTATCAGACGGCCCAGGCCGCCATTGTGACTACAAGCTGGAGCATGTTGGCCATTCTGTGTGTGTGTGCTTCCAAATGTTGTCCTGATGGTGGTCGTCGCGGTATAATGATCGCTCTCTCTGAATACGGGGTTGCGAAGCCCACAATCTGATGATGCGGAAGTGCTCAGTTTGGCAATTGCGGAACATTGCTTAACCTTGCTTGTGTAGAGCCTTGTGGGTGCATCCAGACACGTGAAAACCCGATGTGTGGGACCGTAAGAGGTGTGGATCCCTAGTTACTTGTGGAATATTGTGCGTGGGATCTAGTGTGCAGAAGCCTACAGATGTTCCTGCGGAAGGGTCTGCCAGGTGCGTACTAATACCGCCGCCGGCAAATGTCGAGTTCGAGGGCTGCAACTGTGAGAAGGTGCGCCCAGGCAACTGCTCTACTGGACGCCAGGTCTGGTCCAGTCCCTCCTTCCTCCCCCTCCTCCTCCTCCTCCTCCGCCTCCTCCTCCTCCTCCTCCTCCTCCTCCTCCTCCTCCTCCTCCTCCTCCTCCTCCTCCTCCTCCTCCCCCTCCCTCCCCCTGCGGAGCTTCGACCCAAATCCGCTCAGGATCGATCCCCTGACCCCTCCCAGAGGTCCATCCTGGCCAGTGTCTCGACCACTTCGTCCCGCAGCGCGCGCGGAGCTGCGTTGTGGCCCGTCCGCGCCGGCCTTTCAGCCGGGGGGTAGCGGCAGCGCGCAGACCTTTGGGCCGGGCTCGCGCCCCGCTGCGGTGTCGGCGGCGAGCGAGGGGGGGGGGAAGTGAGAAAGGGCGGGCCTGCTCAGAAGGGTCGGAAGTCCCCCCCGCCTTCCGAGATGCTCCCTGAGCCTTGCCCGAAGGCGCACAAAGTCTCTCCGGAGGCCCGAGGCCTCCTGAGAAGTCCCGCCGCCCTCTGAGAGTCGGGGCTGGACAGACCTCCTACCCTGACACGTGGATTAAGGAATTGGCCGTTTTCTGTTCGTGAGAGGGCGTCGAGGCCGTCATTTTTGCGGGTCCTGATCCGTCGGTTTGCGTCCCAGGCCGTTTTCCCTAAAGGGAGGTTTACTAAAGGGAGGTTTGTCCACCGTCGAGAGAAGACCGTCTCCTTCTCGCTCCCCCCCCCTCGCTCGCCGCTGCTGGTCTGGCCTCGCCACTGCGAGGGTCGAGGCGCACCTCGACGAGGGGGCAGCTGCGGCGCGCGGGAGCGCCGAGGCGGGCCAGTTCGGGACCGAGGCTGCCGATCGGGCGTGGAGTGGCGTGCCAGCTCGAGGCGTATTCCCCCTCCCGGTGTCTGGCTCAAGTCGGGCATGTCCGTCTACAGGGGGAACATTCGAGAGAATAGCTTCAAGCACAGTCTGGGGACGATCTTTCGTGCTGGTCTGACTCTGTGGGGGCACTTGTTGACCGTGTTTCGCGTTCCTTCCGAAATCCGCCTGTAGGAGGACAGGCCCGACCTAAACGTATCCCAATCTTTCAGGCGATCGCAAACATGGATTAAGGGGGCGTGGATTAGCGACGGGTCCCGCCTCCATGGGAAATCACGGATTTCAGCCGTCGAACGAGGCGTCACTGGCCGCAGTTTGGGAAGGGCATTTCCCCCGATCCATGGATTTGGCGACCCCGCGCCAAATCCATGGGTCGCTGATCCATGTCTGTGCGCCCCCGGATCTTGGCGTTTGGCGTCCCCTCGGCGCCGAGCGGAGGCAGCCGGCGGCGTCCAGACATTAGACTTAAGTCGGGCCCGTCCCTCTACAGGAGGAATATTCAAAAATAGTCAAAGAACAGTCAGGGGACTATTTTTGGAGTATTTTTTACAATTTTGGAATGTTTTGGCGTATTTTTTATTTTTCGACGAAAATCCCCCCGTAGGGGGACACGCCCGACTGAACAGTAGAAAGTAAGGGCGACGTGCGCGCTCGGAAGGCCTGCGTATGGCGCGTCGGCGCCGTGGCGGCGTTTTTTCTGGCCATGCCATTCGGGAGCCCTCTATGCACAGAGGCGTTTTCCGACCCCGCGCAGAAATTCGCACAGGGCTGCCCCGGCGCTGAGGCTTCGGCGGCAGGTCCTGCTCTGCTCCGCGCTAGGTAATTAGGCCCCCGCGCGGCCCGCTCGGACCTTACTCGCCGTTGGCGCGTTCGCCTGCGGCTGCTAACAAAAGAAAATTTCGCACAGGAGCGCGGATCCTGGTGTGTACGGGATCCTGGCGTGTGCATTCTTCGGTGGTTCCGCGGGACGACGGGGAAAAAGTATACACCACACCGCCCCGACGTCGTCCCCGACCCTCGAAAAAGTCTTGGGATTGAGAAAATAACGCGCCACTGGTACATTACCAG